TGAAGCAGTAGTGTTTCAACCTGAAAGTATTACTGCTATAGTTGTAATTATTGTCCAGTGACTCATCCCCTCCCACACTAGAAAGTAAATTTAAACAACTAATTTGTGAGATACAGATTGCTTTGTGTTAATTGCTTCAAGATAAAATCACCTTTTTTTTGGGGGGGGAGGTTTGGTCATTCAYGTCTGAATTAAAGCTAAGCTGATGACAATGTTCAAAAAAATAAATAAATAAATACTATTTTGATTATATAAAATTTAGAAAATAAGGGTAAGAAGAGGGCAATTTTCATAATTGTACTACTCAGAGACAGGCATCGTTAATATTATAGTATATGTATTCCCCCACTTTTTTTTTTTCAGTACTGGGGATTGAACCCAGAGCCTCACACATGCTAAGCAAGTGCTCTATCACAAGCTACATCCTTGGCCTTTTTTAAATTTTATTTTGAGACAGGGTCTCACTAAATTGCCCAGGCTGTCTTTGAACTTGCAATTTTTCTCCTAAGTGACTGAGATTTCAGATGAGCACCACCATTCCCAATTATTTATTTTATTTTTTGTAGATGGACAAATACCTTTATTTTGTTTATTTTTATGTGGTGCTGAGGACCAAACCCAGGGCCCCCCGCACGTACTAGGCGAGCACAGTACCACTGAGCCACAACCCCAGCCACCCCAATTATTTTTCCCATCTTTTACATGAGGTTTTTTTTTTTTTTTTTTTTTATAAAAAGTATCACACTATATTTAGTTTTACATCTTGCGTTCATCACTTAACCCTATGGGATAAGCATTTTATCTTGCCATGAAAAGTTATTTGAGCTGCTGTAAACAGTATGGCTGTATCACTGTAGTATGCTGATTTTAAGTCCTTTTGATAAAGAAAATGTTTATATACACAGTGAAATATTACTTAGCCCTAAAAAATAATTGTAATTTGATAGATCTGGAGACTATCATCCTAAGTGAAATAAGCCAGTCCCAAAAAACCAAAGGCTGAATGCTCTCTTTGATATGTGGATGCTAATCCATAAAAAAAGGGGAAGAGGGAAGAATAGATCAGTGGATTAGACAAAGGAAAATGAAGAGAAGGGAGAGGGGAGGGAATAGAAAAGACAGTAGAATGAATCAGACATAACTTTCGTATGTTTATATATGAATATACCACCAGTGAAACTTCATATCATGTACAACCACAAGAAGGGTTAATTAAAGTTAATTGATATTCCATGTATATATAATATGTCAAAAATATACTCTACTGCTATGTATATCTAAAAGAAACAAATTTTAAAAATGAAACATTCAGATTTAAAAGAATAAAAAGTTATTTGAGCCAGGCTGGTGGCGTACACCTATGATCCCTGTGGTTTGGGTCGCTGAGGCAGGAGGATGGTGAGTTCAAATTCAGCCTCAGCAACTTAGGCCCTGAGCAACTCAGGAAGACCCTGTCTCCAAATAAAATATAAAAAAGGTCTGGGGTTGTGGCTCAGTGGTTAAGTGCCCCTGGGTTTAATCCCTAGTACCAAAAAATAAAAAGAAAAGAAAAAACAGTTATTTGAATACATTACTAATGACTGGGAAGTCCASTTTAGAAACTGTCACCCTTGGCTGGTTGTGGTGGCGCACACCTGTAATCCCAATGGCCTGTGAGCTGAGGCAGGAGGATCACAAGTTCAAAGGTAACCTCAGCAACCTTGAGGCACTAAGCAACTCAGTGAGACTCTATCTCTAAATAAAATACAAAATAGGGCTGGGGATGTAGCTCAAGTTGTTGAGTGTCCCTCAGTTCAATCCCCGATACCAAAACAAAAAAATAAATAATCATACTTTAATTTCCTTGGGGGACTTTAGGGTTTTGTTTTGTTTTGTTTTGTTTTGTTTTTTCCAAATGTGTCATAAATGGTACAGTGATATCTGCTATCTGGAAAAGTCTATTTTTTGGAATTGTTGCATCAAATCTATTAAGGAGTATTGCCTACTTGCTCTTTGGAAAGATTTTTTAGGTTTCCAGAACTATCACCTATATATGAGGTTACTAGTTTCACTGCAAACCCCCTAGCACAGAATTATCATTGTTTCCTTAATCTTTGCCATTTGGATTTTTAAAAGCCAGGGCGGGAAGGTAATCTTTTTAACTTATATGAATCTTGAAGGACATAGAAAACTATATCATCTATATAATCTTCCAGAGGAAAAGCATTTTGAAATAATAATGTCCTCTGTACCAGGTATTGTTTTAAACAATTTTCAAACATTAACTCATTTAATTCCCATAACAATCCTATGAAGTATTTACATTATTCATCTTTGTAGAGAACTGAGC